ATGTTAATCGACAAGACTAACAAATAATTGGTAAAAGGTAATCGGAAAAATAAAAAATAAAAATAAAATAAAATTACATAACATGATAAGTCATAATGACATTTTTGTAGAAGAATATTGTTTGAAAAGGAAAAAAAAAGGTATATTACAACCAAAAAACTGATTATCTAAGTATATATATGGGGTAAATTCTATATTGTACGAGATGAGAGTAAAAGACTAAAATCAATTCTCTTTATTCATCGTAATTATCTTTCTTTTCATTTCTTTCTTTGTTCTAATTTTATTTTTCTGTAACAAACACACCGTAACATTCTATAATGGAAAAAATAGATTGGATGAGTTGTCTACTTGGATTAATGTTGATAAGAGGAGGTTGAGACGCATTCTTTACTTTGTCCTATTTGCAAACAATATGTGGAGTCATGTGACCATTTGTTTGTTTAGAGTGAGTCTATTATGGAGTTGTAGTCTAAAGATGGTTTGTGGTGAAATATTATGATTCAGTGGCTTACATATACAAGGGTGTTGATTTCTTTGGCTAATAATTGTAGTTTGAAGGCTATTCATAAAAAAAATAAGTTCGATGTTGTTATTCTTACCACTTTGTGGATTATTTCGTTTTATTACGTGAACATAAAAAAGATATGCCATTTATGACTCGATTTTTACTATCTTTTGATTTATGTCTGTTCTCAAAGTATCAAATAGGTTTGATAGATTAACTTAAAGGTTATTTTTTTTTATTTAACTCATATATAAACTTTCCTTTTTTGATTTTACTCATATATAAACTTTCCTTTTTGATTTAACTTATATATAAATTTTGTTTTTTTATTTAACTCATAACGCAAGTTTTGCTGTCTAGTTTCTTACTAGTTTTGGACTTTTGTTTATTTTGGTTATTGCTAGTATTTGGTTGGCTGCTAACAAAAAACTTGTCGACAAATAATCCAAAAATACATATAAAGTTTTAAAAATTATATTAAATTGAAATGAAAAAAAAAAAGAATAAAAGATTTTACGCCAAGTCACCAACTATAAAACGGCTCACTCGTTAAGGCCAACATTTGAAACTCTTTCTCTCCTTCCATGATCGCTCTGCTATTCAAATAAACCACACATACCATGAGTTTGAAACCTTAGGTATCACCATTTTCGATCATCAATGACGGGTCTTTATTCATCTATCAAATACAGCCCATCTTCATCATCATTATCGCAATCTTCTCAGGCTTTCACTTCCAGAATCTTACTCTTACTCACACTCCTCCCGCTCTCTCTAGCAGCATTCGCATTCGTCCTCCAATGGCGTGGCGAAATCAGTGACCCGACAATCCGATGGTCTTCTATAAATCGCCTTGATTTTCCGGGTATGGATACTACCACCTCCTCCTCAGTCACCTCCCGCACTTCCTCCAGTTGCGCGGATATCTTGGGGCAAAGCCGTTCTATTTCTTTTCCTTACTTTAGGGATTGGAAATTCAATTACGAATCCGATCTAAAACCTAAGGTATAAATCGTTGTCATCAATCGATTCTCTAGTTGATTTTGGATTTGGATTGATTTTATGTGAATGAATCCCTGGTGTTTACGTACAATTTCGTGCCCAATATCTAGGATTGTATAATTCTTTTCTTTAGTCGGAATTGTATCGAATGTGGTTCAATTAAGCTACGGATTTAATCAACTATGATCACCATTTGAATGACTCTGATGACGAAATGTAAGTTAATGAACTGTAAATTTCTCACTGTTTATGCGATTTGAGGGGGTGCATGTATATTGGTGTAGCTTCACTATCTTCATGCATGATGCCATGGTGAAAACAAGTTCTCTTTTCATTTTGACGAATGATTAATTCTTGGGGATGAGAGTACTAAATGTGCTTGAGTTCTGTCATCCTCAAGACTAATGTCATCTGTAATTTGTTGAATGATAGATATGCATTACTTCAAGCACTTCTGCTGGCTTAGAGCAAATATTACCATGGATTTTCTATCATAAAGTTATTGGTGTTACAAACTTCTTCTTGTTTGTGGAAGGAAAAGCTGCAAGTCCAGGTGTATCTAAAGTTCTAGAGTCCATTCCTGTAAGTTTAGACTTTGTTTCTCCTTTTCATTCCCTTAAATTTAGAGGATTGTATCTTTTGTCCTAGAGTAACATTTACAAAACAAAATTAATTGAACTGCAGAATGTGAAGCTGATTCATAGGACAAAAGAACTCGAGGAAGAGCAAGCCAAAAGGTTCTAGCTTCTAAATCTACTTATGAATATTGTAAAATTGAACTTCTTTTTGTTAAATTTCTGTATAATTTTGAATTTTGAATCATCAGCCGAATTTGGAATGAGACTTGGTTGTCAAGCTTCTTCTACAAACCATGCAACTATGAATTATTTGTCAAGCAATCTCTCAATATGGAAATGGCTATTGCCATGGCAGAGGTATAATCTTTTTTATTTTCATCCTTTCTGAAAACATTTTCTTTAATCTATGCATACAAACATTTCTATGAAAAGTTGTTGACATTTTCTATTGCATTTCAAGGAAACTGATATGGACTGGATTCTTCATCTAGACACAGATGAGTTAATTCATCCAGCTGGCACTCGTGAATACTCTCTCAGACAACTTTTATCTGGAGTCCCTGAAAATGTTGATACAGTTGTCTTTCCAAACTATGTAAGTTCTCAAGTAGCTTTTTTGTGATTGATGCTTCAATATTAAATTTAGATCATAACCACTTTGTACATGCAATATACAATATAACCCTTTGTTAGAGCTCATTGTAAATTCTAAATGTTTCCCCTCATTGTTTCAGGAGAGCAGTGTTGAAAGAGATGACATAAAAGAACCTTTTAGTGAGGTATTCCTTTTAAAACAAATGCTTAATTTACTATCTAATTGTAACATATGTATCTTAAACTGAATATATGTTTTTATGCAGGTGTCAATGTTCAAAAAGAATTTTGATCACCTTATGAAGGAAACATACTTTGGAAATTATAAAGAATCAACTCGTGGTAATCCAAATTACTTTTTAACATATGGAAATGGAAAATCAGCTGCTCGTGTTCAACCACATTTACGCCCTAATGGTGCACATAGATGGCATAACTATATGAAGACTCCAGTGTATATATATCACACTTACCATTACTACTTGTGGTAAAAGCCTGTTTTCTATTAAGTCGTTCTTTCTGCATTAACTTTATTATGTGTGTGTGTGTGTATTTAGTGAGGTGAAATTTGATGAGGCTGCTGTTTTACATTACACATATACAAAGTTTTCTGATTTGACATCAAGGCGTGATCGATGTGGCTGCAAGCCTACAAAAGAAGAGGTTAAAAGATGCTTCATGTTGGAATTCGATAGAGCTGTAAGTATTAAAGCTTCTTTCACCCTTCTTCCTTAATATCCATGTGTTGTTTAAAGGTCAAATTAGTCATTTCCTACATGAAGTTATTATGTTGCCATGCTCCCATTGGTCCATGAAGTTTTCATACCAGGGGTAATCTTTTACATGAATAGGGATTAGGGATGATTCACTATATATGGCCTCATGTATCACATGATGTAAACTAGTAAGTTAAGAGCATCATTTGCTGCAGGCTTTTATAATCGCTTCAACTGCAACAGAGGAGGAGATGCTAAATTGGTAAGAATTATTACTAAATTTTATTTCATAATTTAAACTCATCAGGGTGAGATTTCATATAATCAACAAAATTTGCACTCCAGTTGTTCATAGTTTCATGGAATGAAATGTAACAAAACGAGTCATTACATGATCATGTTTAGTTGGCTTCAACACAAATGAATTTTTGTATGGATTTTTTTTAATACTCAAAATTAAAAAAAGTGAAAGTAATAAAACATCACTAAAACCCAAATATCATTATAATGAAAACTACATTTTCTAGTTATTTAAAAAAAATAAAGTTGCAACTAAATTAGAATCATGAAATCTAAAATTAGTTTGTGTCATTAAAAGCTACATAAATAAATAATTGACCACTTGCAAACTTTTTAACAAATAATCCATTCCATTCCATCAGACTAAACAAACATTTTTTTTTCCCATTGGAATGAACAATTCCATTCCTCCCCTAATTCCATCTAATGTTTTATTCTTTAGGTACCGTGAACACGTTGTATGGACTGACAAAGAGCTACAAAAGAAACTCATGAAAAAGGGAATTCTAATCCGCATTTACGCTCCAATGGTACATACAATTTCCTCGACAGTGACATGACACAACTTACTGTACTGTATTTGGTCTGCATTGGACTCAGACAGTCAGACTATTGCCAATAGGACAAAACATACAATTTTTTGCTCCACCAAAAAATGTGAGATAGTGACTCGTTATCTATCTCTCGCATGTACAAAAGACGTAGATGCCCTTTATACAATCCTGTGTATCAAAAACAGACTATTTTAATAGTTCATTTAATTTGTAATATTCAATGTTTGAACAGGTGATTATGCAAGGATTAAGGGAAGCGGGTGTTTACGCTTCTTTAATTGCATCTGTTCAAACCAATTTATCAAAGGATACGTTTTTGTCAAACAACGAAATTATTAATAATTCTTCGAAAGGCTTTGAAGGTGTTTCTTCTAGAAACATTGGCAATGAAGAACCTCGGATGGCTGCTAGGAATGTTTTACAAATAGACGATGCAAATTTATGGGCAGTGCCGCCACTCTCGCCTCCGATGGTGGATGATATCGACCATTATATATGATTTTTGTGAAGGAGAAAGGTGATTTTTTTAGTGTGGTGGGCACAAATTAATACATGAAGGTATCCAATTTTGTAGAAGTTATGTTTAAATAAAGATATCTTTGATAAAATACAATATAGATGTAGAAGGTGATTATAATGGTAACTACTGTTTTATTTAGGGCTGTAAACGAACCGAACAAACACAAACAGAGACGTGTCCGTGTTCGTTAGTTAAGAAATTTAGTGTGTTCGTGTTTGTTTAGTTGATAAATGAGCATAAATGAACATAAACGAACACAAAAACAAACGAATTTAAACGAACATAATTAAACATTAAAGAACATAAAAAACGAACTTAAATGAACATAAACAAACAAACAAGAAACAAACTTTAACGAACATAAATACACTTAAACAAACATACATACATATATATACATATAATTTATTTTATAATAAAATAAAACATAAATGAACGAACGTAAACAAATATAAAAGAACGAATAAGATCATTGTTCATGCTCGTTCGTTGAACGAGATATCTTGTTCATGTTTGTTTTTTTATTAAATAAATGAATTTCCCGCCGAACAATTCACGGACAGTTCGTTGAACGTTCAGTTAATTTACAATCTTAATTTTATCATTTGAGTATATTAACTAGGGGCGTGCGAACGACAGAAACCGAACAAAACCGTAATAGGAAAACAAAATCGTTTTGAAAACTGCCAATTTGGTTTTTGGTTTTTAGAAAAACCAAACTTTTAGGTTGTGTTGGATTTTGTTGTATGAAAGCAAAACCGAATCCAAAATATCCAATACAATGTCATTTTATGTATTCGTTTATTTGATTAAGTATGTTACAAATTAAAATACTTCATATGCATTTAACGGTTTGTATTGAAAATTAAAATAGTAGAAATGTGTTTTTGTTGTCTACTATTTATTTTAGGAAATCACTTGCTTATGTATATTATAGAGACATTGCTTATAAAAAAACACAATAAATAGAATACAAAACTAAAAAACAAGAAAAAAAAAATGGAGAAAACCAAAAGCCAAAATCATAAAACCCAAATATAATGATTTTTCCAAAGTCAAAAACCAATTCTGATGGTTTCGTTTAAAAAGAAAACGGAACAACACAGTGCTCGCCCCTACATAAGCAACTTTTCATTTTTAAACAATGTTTAAAACATGAAACTAGATCGAAATTGGTCAATATAGTTGGTGTAATTTGAAGACCTTTACAGATTGATTGGATCATGGTAAAGACCATGCTAGTTAACAAAATTTGATGGAAATATATTTCTTTTGCATTCTATTAAACAAAAGATATATTAACAAAATTTGGTTAATATAGTTGGTTGTACTATCTCTGTTTTTTCATACTATATGTTATACAATAACTGTAATTGGTTTGTAAACTTGCTTTTGTATTCATTGATAGTCGGTAAACATTTTGGATGTGAAATGCAATAGGAAAACATCTCTAAAGTAGCGAAATAGTGTAGACAAAGAATTTAGACTTAACTAAAAAATCTATATGATCTTATAAAAAATCTAAGACAAAATTGCTCTTTGGCCAAAGAACTACAAATCTCAAAGAACTAATGTATAACACCCATAATTTATGGTTAGAAGTTTTCATCTTTATGTGAAATTCCTTACAACTAAAATATCTTTTCTAAAATCAAATTAAATAAAAATAATTATTTAATGAAGTGGTTAATTTGAAATTTCAAAGTTGGTTAAGCTAATATAATCAAATTAAAATTTAATTAATTAATTATATGTTAAGTTAGGTCAAAAACTTAGAGATTCGGACTTAAGGAATAACATTTGAGTAAATCTATTTTTTTGGAACGGCAAACTAATATACTCCTAAATTACCACCCATGTCTCTAAGGAGGTATCGAACCTATGACCTTTCAATTGAAAGAGTCTCTCCTTACCACTAGGCCAAAGACCCTTTGATAGTAAATTCATTTAATTAGAATATAAACTTATATGTAATTATTATTATTATTATTATTATTATTATTATTATTTAAGCTTAGATTAGAAGATTAGACACTAGAAATATTATCTAGGTCATACTAGCCTTATTAGATTAAAATGAAAATTTAAATAGTGAGGGTTGATCTTGTTAATTATAGAAATTTAGGCATGATTTGGCATAACTAAGTAAAGTAGGTTTTGGACCTAAATTGATAAGATATTAATATTTTAAGGCTTAGGTTAGAGCTTTTAAAGTAGAAATGTTATTGTATGTCATTTTGAGATCAAAGTTTAAAGCTAAGAAGTTAGGGGACCAAACTTGCCAAAAGTGGAAAAAATAAGGTATGAACATAGCTTGAATTGACTAACCTTGATATGTACTTCAATTGTTAATATTTACAGAAAATAGCTTAAATTTGTTGTTGCTAAGTTAATGGTCAAATTAGAAGTCATTTGGGCAAACTTGAAAAAATTAGAAACTTGAGACATAAGCACCTTAAAGCCATTATCTCCTCCTATTTGGGAATGATTTCAACACGAGGAAATCCTAAGAGACCAATTTTGAAAGAGAAAATTACAACCAAAAGCTTGACTGAAGTCATTTTGGGAATCAATGCTTGGATCATCAAGGAACCCTAAAAAGGCAATAATCAATGCTTGGATCATTAAGCACCTTAAAGCCACTATCTCCTCCCATTTAGGAATAATTTCAACACGAGGAAATCCTAGTAGACCAATTTTGAACGATAAAATTACAACCAAAAGCTTGATTAAAGTCATTATTGGAATCAATGTTTGAAGTCATTTTGGAATCAACGCTTGGCTTGAATTCAAGTTTATAATGTTGTGTTGGTACTCTTAAACCCTTGATCATGAGAATTTCAAGTTGAGTTATGGAAAATGAATTTGATTGCTTTTTAACACCAAATCATGATTTAAACTAACAATTTAGTTTGATTAGTTCAAATCATGAAGTCAACCACTTCAATTTGATCAAATATATAAGTCTAAGCTTTGCATTATGATTATAAGCTTTCAAATGGTGATTTTGAATTTAAATCTAACAATTTTGATTTAACTCTTTTGACTTGAAACTTATGTAATCAATCTAACTTAAAATCATCAATAAGAGTCATATTAATGAATGTTAAGTTAATTTTTTCATGACTACTTAATTTTAGTTAAACAAGATTTTAACAACTTGAAATGAACTTTTGGAAAATAAAACCAATCTTTGTTCATTTAATTAATCACTGGTTGAAGGATGGAAATCAAGCTAAATTACTTTTAAAATGTGAATGCATGCCTTTTATTAACAATTTATCGTGAAATCCAACACTTGTGGTCAAATTCAGAAGAAATGAAAGTCAAATTTGAAAATTTCTAATTAATATCTTAGATTCGTATGAAATTAAGTTATAATTATTTTAGTTTATAAGTTAGGTTGGAATAATGTTTCAGATCATAATCCATCCATAGAAGTCATTAAAAATGGTTAATGAAGTGTCAGAGTCAAATTTCCAAGGTACAATTCCGTTTTTGGATGAAAATGCATGAAATGGATTATCTAAGGAAAAGAATGTCACGTTTTTCCCAAGGCAAACAAACATTGTCCATGTTTTAGTTTGTCTTCGCACATAAGCATTTGTTTTCTCGATTATAATCCATTTGACACCTAATCAACTCCATTACTCTTCTAAAGGCTTAGAATAAAAATTTAGCAATATAAAGAGTTATAAAAATTGTTAATCTTAATATAGGTATTTATGATATTGATTTGGAACTAATTGACTAATTAACTATGTCCTTTAGGTGACGAGTAAGCACTCAAACACTTGTGGAAGTGATGTAAAATATATACTTGTGTCAAGGTGAGTTCATTAATTACCCAATAACAAACGTCCATATTATGTACTTGAAATATTATGTACATATACTAAGTGAAACACTATATTTAATACGCGTTCATTCATGAAATAAGTTTTTATAAATAAGTTTTGAATTAGGTACAAACTTTCTAATTTTTGAATTTATTTTTGATCATGAAGATGTACAACAACTTTAGAATGGGTTGAAACTTGTGTGACCACTCATGACCTAGTTGGTTACCAACTCTGGATGTTCTTGATGTTTTCATAACACTCTATCACTCAATGTTGCACATGTGACTTGCTACCTCTCATGTAGTTCATGTTTATAGGCACATGTTTATGGCTTTTGGAATCCTTTACATTGTGTAAGGAATGACCAAGTTTCTCATATTTAAACAATGTCTAGCCTTGATAATACTCAGTAGGCTTCCCAATCCTAACCTACCTATTGTGACATGTGTTCATATTAGGAAATTTAGAAGAAGATTAAGATGGATGAAGCTATGGACTTTGAGTAAACGCTATATATTTTTAGATAAAATATACATAAGGATGTTTACTTTATCTTTGTCTGTTGATTGTTTTGTTACACCCTCATAGCATATGACACTTTAAACATTTTAAATATTAAGGATTTAACCGTTTGTGACTTTTATCTGCAAATTGTTTTTCTAAAAATTATTATTGTTTTGTACAATATTTTAAACTTCTACTTTAGACAATCATGTCAAATTGCCTATTGGAGGGGTATTACATGATGTGATTGCACAAGAACCATTGAGTTCTCAAAACTATTGAATTCTTAAATAACCAATGAGATTGCCAAAGAAGCGGTTGAAATTGTTAAAAAAATATTGAGATTGTTAAAAAAGAAGAGATCTCAAAGAAATGCCGATTAAAACTATATTTCTATAATAATTGAAAATTTCAAACTAATAGTTTTTTAATTAATTAATTACCGAGATGATATGTTATTAAAATGTGTCTATATAAATCGATTAATCATAATAGTTAAATATAACAATAAATCTAAATTTAAATTTATTTTTATAATCATCATAATAGTTAAATATAACAATAAATCCAAAATTAAATTTATTTTTACTCACATATGCAATCTCTTGCATAGAAATTATTGATATGATATGATTTAAGTGTCTTATTATCTTATCATATATTTAAAATAATTA